GGTGAGAAATGTGATGGACTGAACTTCCCCAAGAAAACAAGATGGTTGGAACATGCCTGCGTTATGAAACGGCAACATTTTACTTCGCGAGCTTGTCCGGTCAAGCGGATCTGTTGTCAGACCATGCGATGATGGAACGACAGATCTTCACTTCGTAAGCATGTCCGTTCTGGCAATTCTGGTTCCAACAGAGGTTTGAGCCTCCAGGACAAAGCCCGGCGGTCCTGCATTCTCAATGCAGGCTCTCGCGAGGTATTAATCGCCTCAGGGCAGCGCCTTGATGAGGGGGTATTGGGGTGAGCCTTCCCCAGATCAGCATGTTTGGTTTTCGCACGTGCTATCTACCTCCGCAGAGCAAGGTTGACATACTGTATAAGGCTGTACGGGGTGAGTCTTCCCCAACTTAGCACGTTGACCACACTTGATCGTGCAACGGTAGCCCTCTACTTCGTGACCCTGTCCGTTCTAGTGATTCCGTTTGCAGCAGAAGCTGTAGGCCTCCAAGACACAGCCCGGCGGCCATGCCGGCGGTACTGCCTTCACAATGGGCGCTCGAACGACGATGCACTTACCTCGGCAAGGCAGCGCCCAGGCACGCCTGTATGGGGGTGCGCCTTCCCTAGGCTAGCACGTTGGAACGTTTGTTCATAGAACGGCAGCTCTGCGCTTTGTGGGCTTGTCCCTCCTCCTCCTCCTCCTCATCCTATTCCTCCTCTCCCTCCTCCTCCTCCTCCTCCTCCTCCTCCTCCTTTCCCTCCCTCCTCCCCCTTCTCCTCCTCCTCCTCCTCATCCTCACCCTCATCTTCGGGGAAGGGTTTACCCCTCCGCGACCCCTTGGAGCGTCCGAGAAGGCCTCGGCGAAAAGGCTCAAATCTTTGGTTTTGCCAAAAGGTGGTTGGCCCAGATTGGCCCCCTAGGGGAAGGAATTGTTGGGGGGCGCTAGCATGGTCGCCACCTTCGAAGGCAACTCACGGGAGCCTCTCATGCCATCTTGTCGGCTCTTGAGAATCGACGCTAGTCGACGCGAACCGACGCCAAATCGACACTAGCCGACAATGAATCGGGGCTGTCTCAACAACTACCAGACGCTAATCGACGCTAACAATGGAATTAAAAGGGTATGTCAGGCTCCCATGATTTGCCACCGACTCCCCCTCCTTTTTTGAGCGAGCTCATCCAAGATGGCCCAAGAGGGCCCCCAGCGATCTCCAGCGCGCCCCAAAACACGGCCCCAAGAGGCGCCCAGGAGGCCCCAAGGGCCCCCAAGAGGTCCCCGAGAGGCTCCCAAGAGATCCCCAAGAGAGCCCGAGAAGCTCCCCCGAGACACCAAAGACGCTCCAAGAGGCCTCCAGGAGCGCCAAGAGGCCCAACAGACGCCCCAAGACGACTCCAAGAAACTTTCAAGAAACATCCAGAGAGACTCCGAGAGGCATCCCCCCTCTCTTCCACCACCACACTCCTTCCCTCCCAGCTCTCAAGTGCTCCCACTCCATCGCGCCGCCCCTCCTTTTCCTGCTCCGTCTCCCCAACCCTCGACGCTCGGCCCAGAACCCATTCCTTCCCCTAACATCCCCAGAGAACCAACCAGAGGATCCACCCAACCCCTCACCCTTCTTGGTCGCACTCGTCCCATCCTCCCCCACTTAAAGCAACCCCCCCACTCCACACTCGGCAACTACCCATCGCGAACCTCTCCTGTGCCGCGCCCCAAGGGGGGGGAGGGGGGAGAACGAGGAGGAGGAGGAAGAGGAGGAGGAAGAAGAAGAAGAAGAAAAAGAAAAAGGTTACCGAAGAGGAGAAGAAGGAGGAGGAGGGGGCGGACTTGTTTTGGTCGGCGGATGGACTTGCTCTGCACGGGGGCGCGAGCCCAGCGCCAACTCCCGCTGGCATCGGACCGCACGAGGGCCCGGCCAAGCACCAGCGAGCGACGGCCGGAGGAAGAGCACACCGCGGCGGAGGGGCAGCGACCGAGCGAACAAAAAAAAGCGAGGCCCGAGGCCCGCGGCTCACTGGGGAGAGGTCGCCCCCCATCCCAGGCGTCGTGGGGTAGACGAACGGCCTTGACATCTGGGGTCCAGCCCTGGGGCTTAGGGGGCCCTGGCAACGACAAGGCCGTTTTTTTACCTGTTCCGTTTTGCCGTTCTTTTTTGCTGGTTCCGACGCCGTTGTTTTACCGGTTCCGTTTTGCCGTTTTGCGACCGGTTCCGGCTCCGGTTCCAGTCCTGGAGCCGTTGTTTTGCTGTTTCCGGTCGCCGTTTCTTTGCCTTTTCCATTTTCAAGGGATATTTTTGCTGGAAGCGGTGACAAAAACGGCCCTGCCATTTCCAGGCCCCACAAAGCCCGAAGCCCGCAGGTCACTGGGGATAGGTCGACCCCCATCCCAGGCTTCGTGGGGTAGACGAACGGACTCGAAATCTGGGGCCCAGCCCTGGGGTATATATATATATATATATATATATATAGGATTTGGGGGGCGCCCATCCTGCAATCGGGGCGCGTCCGAAGAGCCCCGTATGGGGTGTGTCCCAGGGCTTCCCCTCCTTTCCTGCGCGGCGCCACTCTTCGTCGAGCAGTCGGTGGGTGGGGGGGGGGGGAGTGCCGCCTGCCAGCAGGGAGGGTGGCGGAAGACGGCAGACAGCGTGCACGAGCCAGCAGCGGCGGCTGCAGGCACTCTCCCTCTCTCTCTGTTTCTCTCGCTCTCGCTCTCGCTCTCGCTCTCTCTCTCTCTCTCTCTCTCTCAGGCGGGGGCGCGGAGCGCTCCGGCAGCCCGTTCCCCCCCCCCCCCCCCCCCCCCTGCTCCTCCTCCTCCTGCTGCTGCTGCTGCTGCTGCTGCTGCTGCTGCTGCTGCTGCTAACGGCGGTCATGATTCTCCTCCTCCTCCTCCTCCTCCACTCCTTCCTCCTCCTCCTCCTCCTCCTCCTCCTCCTCCTCCTCCCCCTCCTCCTCCTCTCTTTCCTCCTCCTCTCTTTCCTCCTTCTCCTCCTCCGTTTCCTCCGCCTCCACCTCCTCCTCCTCGTCCTCCTCCTCCTCCTCCTCTTCCTCTTCTCCGCAACCTTATTCCTCTACCTCTTCCTCCTCCTCCTCCTCCTCCTTCTCGCATCCTCCCCCCCCCCCGAGGGTGCGCCCCGCCGCGGGGGGAGCGCTGGAACACGGAGCCGAGGAGGGGCTTCTCGGGGGACAGGGCGCGCCTCCTCTCGGCCCCCAGAAGAGGTCCCCCCCAGGAAGCAGGACCTCGACCACTAGAAGGTCTTCCACCACCACCACCATAAGTTGGAGGGGGAGGAGGTCCTCCTCCTCCGCCTCCTCCTCCTCCTCTTCCTTCTCCTCCTCCGCCTCCTCCTCCTCCTCCACCTCTTCTTCTCCTCCTCCTCCTCCTCCTCCTCCTCCTCCTCCTCCTCCACCTCCCCCTCCACCTCTTCTCCTCCTCCTTGTCCTCCTTCTCCTCCTCCTACTCCTCCTCGTCCTCCTCCTCCTCCTCCTCCTCTTCGTCCTCCTCCTCCTCCTCCTCCTCCTCCTCCTCCTCCTCCAACGTATGGTGGTGGTAGTGGTGGATGGTGGTGGAAAACAGGCCAATCATTTCACGAGAAACCCACCCCGCAAAAAGTTCGAGGCGAATCCAGCGGTGGCGACGAGGGCCCCAAGGAGGCCCACAAAGGTGAAGACGAGGGACGGGTAGCGCCATGGGTGCCTTTCCCTCCTCGGACGGCATCCCACGAATTGCACCCTGACCCCCAAATATGGATTGTTCGTCGAGTCTGCGATACGGAAATGTTAACAGATATACAAACACTCTGTGTATTTTTGTAAGCGTTTTCTTGTTCGGCGTTTCGACATTGGGCGGAAGGGTGGGCGGGGGGGGGGTCTGGCTCCGGACCTCTGCTTCGGGCGACTGTTTGAGACAGTGCGTCCTATAGGGGAGACTCCACCTGCTCGAAGGGAGCGCCCAAGACAGCCAAGATCTGCTCCATGGGGCGGGGTGCGAGGGCCTGCGCCCGTCGGCAACATAATGAAAAAGAAAACGATCACCCGAGAGACCCTGGGACGCCCGTCGGCGCTTGTCGGTGTGGGAGCGTCACGCCTGCCACAGCAGAAGCCTCGAGACCCAGGAAGCCCAGGGCACCCTGGAGGCGAGCAGGGCGTCTTTTGGGATGGGCTTCCACCGTCTCTGGATCCGGGAACTCGGGCCCCGAGGCCCTGACAGATCGATCTAGCTCGCAATATGGCGCAGAGAGGTGGGGCGCAGGCGCTTCCAAGGATGACGCTAATGATGACGACGACGACGACGACGACGACGACGACGACGACAACGACGACGACGCCCTCTAAGAAGGCCCGCGGGGGGCGGTCCGAGAGCCCGACCCCCTCCCGAGCCCGACGTGGCCCTCGCCTCCGCGCCTTGCCTCTGCCCGCGGGGGAGGGGGGGGGCCGCTCTCGCAGCTCGGGAGAGGCTGGCGCTTTATGCGTATTGTCGGCCAGCGGCCATGGATGGGTCAGTGCTCCACCACCGCTGCCGTACCTCCTCCTCCTCCTCCTCCTCCTCCTCCTCCTCCTCCTCCTCCACGGGTAGGTCCCTTCGGACCTGCCTCTTCGGAGGCAGGCCAATCCATAGTCCATAGTCCACGGGTAGGTCCTCCTCCTCCTGCTTCTCCTCCTCCTCCTCCTCCTCCTCCTCCTGGTCCTGCTCCTCCTCCTCCCTCTCCTACCTATGGCAATGGCGGTGGCACATCGTCCCATCAGCCGTGGAGCCAGTTGACTTCGGCGGCTCGCGGACCAGGCAGAGCGAAAGAGAGAAAGAGAGAGAGAGGGAGGGGGAACAAGAGAAAGAAACCGAGCAAAACAGCAAAACACACACAAGGCAGTGCATGTCAGAGGTGCGTTGGCAAGCAGAGGCGCGCAGAGCGGACGGGACAACGGATGCGGAGGCGTCGGACGTGCCCAGCAGACTGGACGGCGGGAGGTCTGGGTGCCCCGCAGAGGGGAGGCGTGCGGTGCGGGCGGGCCCACGGCAGATCGCCGACGACGATGTTCTTCAGCTCCACGGTGTAGTGCGTAAGGCCGAGGTATCTCCCGACAACGTTGACCAAATTCTGCCCGCGAATCCTGCATCGGGACGGCACGTGAGCCGCGCGTCGGTCGGAAGAAGCAGGGGGAACAGATGACGCAGGAAGGCGGATCGAGTGGATTGGGTCTGGGCCCTCCCAGAGAACAACAAAAGGCAGCGAAAGCATACCGCTTCTTGAAACAGGAAGGCGCTTGAAGCAGATTCGAATCAGAAAGTTAACCAAACAACGCGCTGAGGCCATGACGTGCCAACTCCTGTGTGCCAGGCAGACGCTGCGCTGCGGGCGAGGGGAAACACTGCCACACGACTCGGCTGCCTCGATGCTGGGGAAGGCGAAGGCTTGCACTCGCACGCGCTGCTGCGACGGCGCTCGCATCCCAGCCTAAGGCACCTCACGACTGGCAACGATGCCTCTCAGAACGCGGCAAGGACGAATTGGGGACAAAGCAAACAACACATCCCGCTACTCCGCGGACCTCTCCTGGGGTGGGGCCTGACTGAGATTTGAGGGCGAACCCAGCCGTCGCGACGAGAGATGGGTAGTGGTATCCATGAGGGCCACCTGCCTTCCAGACCTTACAAGGAGTGCTCTCTGTCCCAAGATCCCGAATCGAATCCTCCCTTTGCGACGAGGCCCCTCCCCAGGGCGCAGGAGGTTTGAGAAGGCGAAGCCTGCACAAAATGAACCCACAATCGTTATGTGGCAACTTATGGGAGCCTCCCGTGCCATCTTCCTGGTTCTTGCGAACCGACGTCCCTCGACGTTAACCGACGCTAGATGGACGCTAGCTGATCGACGCTAAATCGGCCCTTTCTCATTGAGTACAAGACGTTACCGCACGCTCAGACACTCCAAAGGCGGAATTACAAAGGTATAACACAAGGCTATCTGATCTGTGCAATCGGAGAAGGTGATGACAATTATTATTGTGTTTCGAGCTATCCCAACCCGTGAATTCTTGTGCTTCGACCTATCCCTACCCGATTCGAGCTAAGTGGGCCGGCGACGGGGCGGCGGCGCGGCGAAACCTCGGCGGACACACAAGGCCTCCCAGGACTTGCTGCCGAATCCGATCGCCTCCCAAACATGTGTGTTGCCCCCGAAGCCCGGCGAGGACCCCACGAGGCCGAAAACTGCCCAAATCCCGCCGCTCCAGTTTCTGCTGGAGCGTCGGAATTCCGGGGGAGGGCACTCCGACGCGGCAGAATTCAAAGCCGAGTGCGCCGGCGCGGCCAGCAGGGCGTTTCCGAGACACCCTCCTGGCCATGCTGCCATGCCAGACGAGCTCCAGGCGGCCCTGCGGCCCGAGCGCATGGCCGCTGGATGCCGAAGTCCCAGAGCGCACGCCATCGCGACGACGCCTCGACGGCTTCGAGCACTTTGATGCACAGCAAAGGCTCGACCAGAAGGAGCCGTCCACAAGACACCCAACCCTGAGGTCCCAGGGCGACCCCACTGGTCATTGGTGTAGGAACGTCACGTTCCCCACCGAACAAAAAAAAGCAACCGAAGCTAAAAAAGCAGGGCCTCCTGGAAGCAGGCAGGGTGGTTCTTGGCATGGCCATCACATGCACAAACCTCCTCGGATGCTTCAGACATTTAGCTTTGCTCGCCTCCTCGAAATCGTCGATGTGCCAGCTGCTAGCTGCAGATCTCCTCTCCCCTCCTGGCCGATTTCTGGGCGGCCCGCACTGGAGGCGCTTGCATCGACGATGCGACGCGCCGACCACACCCGCTCGGGCCCACGCTGGGCGGGTGGAGGCGGAGAGGAATCGAGGAGAAGGGTCGAAGGATACAGTAGGGGCGTTGACCCAAGGAACCCCGGATAAGGAACGAGGCTTTTTTTCCATAAGTTCAGCTTCGGTTTCCCATCGAGAACGTGAGCAATACCAGAGGCAAGCTGTGAACAACTGAGGAGCACGGAGCGCCCCGACGATACTGACCGAATGAATGCATAAATGCCCTTCGTGGTGCAATGTTAGGGGGCCGCATGCGAACCCTACCCCTACCCCCCACGACTTCTGAGGGGGAGGGTGGGGTTCACTTTGCTCGGGAGCTCCCGAGCGAAGTGAACCCCACCCTCCGAGCGAAGTGAACCCCACCCTCCCCCTCAGAAATCGTGGGGGGTAGGGGTAGGGTTCGCATGCGGCCCCCTAAATGTGTCTCTGCTGATCTGCTCTGCTCTGTAACGTGCGCTAAAAGTACCGAGGGGACGAAGACTCGCACAAAAGAGGCTGGTGAGTTCGGCCCAGTCGAAAAAAATACAAGACCAACGAATCCACCAAGAATCCGCGGGGGTGATCGAAATCGCAAGTTCCTCTCCAACAAGGTCGGGGATCTGCTGATCCAGGTCAATCCAGACCTGGGTCAGTCAGGCCTTGCAAAATCCCGCACGATCCTGCACCCAAGCCAGGGTCAATGCACCCCTGGCTGCGCAGGATCCTGCAAGAGCCGGCGCTCTGACCCCTGTTTGCACTGACCCCCGTCTCCTGGGCCCCGACCGAC